CTGCGGAAGGCGGACAAGGGAGGGGATGGGAGTATGTGTCTGGTGGTGGCATCTTGCTGGAGGTAGCGGAAATGGCGTCTGATGATCTTCTGGATGTGGATGCTGGTGGGATGGTAGGTAAGGACAAGGGGGACCCTATCACTGTTGCGGGAGGGAAAAGGGGTGAGGGCGGAAGTGCAGGAGATGGGTCGGACCTGGTTGAGGGCCCTGTCGACAACGGAGCTGGGGAATCCTCAGTTGAGGAAGAAGGTGGACATTTCAGAGGCTCCCTTGTCGAAGTTGGCTTCATCTGAACATATGCAACGGAGACAGAGGAACTGAGGGAATGGGATGGAGTCTTTACAGGAAGTGGGATGTGAGGATGTATAGTCCCTTTTAAATCTTTCTCCTCTCACCTTAAAAATATGCCACCTAGTTTTGAACTCACCCCCACTAAGGAAAAGACCTTTGCTATTCACTTTATCTATACCCCTCATGATTTTATAAACCTCAAAGGTTTATAACCCCGCAACCTCCTATGCTCCAGGGGAAAACATCCCAGCCTATCTAGCCTCTCCTTATAACCCAAACCCTCCATTCCCAGCAATATCCTTGTAAATCTTTTCTGAGCCCTCTCCAACTTAATAATATTCTTCCTATAGCAGAGCGACCAGAATGGTATACAATACTCCAAACATGGCTTCACCAATGTCCTGTACAACCTCAACATGACATTTCAACTCCTATACTCAATGGTCTGAGCAATGAAGACAAGTGTGCTAAATGCCTTCTTAACCCCTCTGTCTGCCTCGTTTGCAACTTTCAAAGAAAGATATACCTGAACTCCTAGGTCTGTCTGTTCAACAACACCACCCAGGGCCCTACCATTAATTGTATAAGTCCTGCCCTTATTTGTTTTATCAAAATGCAATACCTCGCATTATCCAAATTAACCTGCATCTGCCAATCCTCAGCCCATTGGCCCAATTGATCAAGATTCCTTTGTAATCTTAAATAACCTTCTTCACTGTCCACTAAATGCCCACTTTGATGTCATCTGCACAGTTACTAACCATGCTTCCTAAATTCTCATCCAAATCATTTATATAAATTACAAACAAAAGTGGACCCAGCATTGATACCTGTGGAACATCACTGGTCACAGGCCTCCAGCTCAAAATACAACCCTCCCCCATCTGTCTCCTACCATCAAGCCAATTTTGTATACAATTAGCAAGCTGACCTTCAATCCCATTTGATCTAATTTTGCTAATTAGTCCATCATGCAGAACGTTGTCAAAGGCTTTCCTAAAGTCCATGTAGACAATGTCTACTGCTTTGCCCTCTCAATAATTTTGGTTATGTCCTCATAAAACAGTATCAAGTTTGTGAGATGCGATTTCCCACAAATAAACCATGTTGGCTATCCCTATTCAATCCTTGCCCCTCCAAATACATAAATCCTATCTCTCAGAATCCCCTCCAACAACTTACCCACCACTGATGTCAAACTCACAAGTCATTGAAATAAATGAGGTTTAATTCATCAGAGTTACCACATTCTCTGAAATGCTCTTGCCCACCTTTTCTAATTAACTTGCTCTTTCCTTGTATCCCTTGATTTACGTAATGATCCAGAATCTATCTATCTCAGTCCTAAAGATACCCAAGGAGTCTGCCCACACAACTCTCTGTGGCAAGGAGTTCCAAAGACTCACAAACCTCAGAGAAGAAATTCCTCCTCATTTCAGTCTTAAATTGGTGCCTCTTTATTCTGAGACTATGTCCTCTGGTCCTAGACTCTCCCGTGAGGGGAAATGTCCTTTCAGCACGTTTTTTTTTCTTTATTCATGTTCTTTACACATATTCTGAGGGTCACCAGATCCAAAACGTTAACTCTGAATTTTCTTCACAGATGCTGCCGGACCTGCTGAGCTTTTCCAGCAACTTCTGTTTCTGTCCCCTTGAAACTAGGGCCAACATTCCATTAGCCTTCTTGATTACTTGCTGCCTGTGTGTGCTAACTTTCTGTGTTTGGTGAACAAGTCCCCCCAATCCCTTTGTGTTGCAGCTTTCTGCAGTTTCTTTTCATTTAAATAATATAGTTCTTTTGTTCTCCCTTCTAAAATCAATAACTTCGATTTTCCCATATTATACTCCATTTGCCAACTGTTTGCCCACTTATTTAACCTATCAATATTTCTCTGTAAACTTTTTGTATCTCTCTTACAATGTGACTTTGCACCAAATTCTGTGTCATCTGCAAATTCAGCTTCACTTCTTCCTCCAAGTCATTATCATATATTGTAAATAGTTGTGTCCTAGCTTTGGTCCTTGTGGAAACCCATTGGTCACAGATCGCTAACTTGTAAAAGAACCCTTATCCCCACTCAGTCTCCTGCCCATGAGCCAATTCTCTATCCACAACAATGTACTATCTCCAACACCATGATCTCTTATGACTTTACCTTCTGTGAGGTACATAGTCAAATGCCTTCTGTCCAAATCCAACACATCTACTTGTTCCCCTCCAGACACGCTGGTTAAGACTTCCACTGACAAATTAGACACAATTTCCCTTTCATGAAGCCATGCCGACCCAGCTTATTAGATTATGATTTTCCAAATGTTCTGTTATTATTACCTTAATAACTGATTCTAACACTTTTCCAACAATAAGTGTTAAGCTAATCAGCCTTTTTGAATAAGGGTGTCACATTGGCAGTTTTCCAATCTTCTGGTACTCTTCCAGAATCTGGACTTTTGGAAAATTACAACAAATGCATCCACTACTTCTTTTAGGTCCTTAGATAAGAGCTATCAGTGCCAGGGAACCTATCTACCTTAAGCCATATTAGTTTGTCTAAAAGTACTTCTCTAGTGTGGAAATGATACTTAATGTGTTCCCCTTTCTATTATTTATTGTTAATAGGATGTTTGAGATAACTTCCACTGTAAAGACTGATGCAAAATATCTGCTTAAATTCTCTGCCATTGCCTTGTTCCCCAAAACCGTCTCCCTAGATTCACTTTGACCTCTCCCTCTCCCTTTTTATATTTTTACAGTTAGTTTCTATATTCTTTGCTAGTTTGCCATCATCATTTATTTTCCCTCTCTTTATAATATTTTTAGTCCTCTTTTGCTGGATTTTGAATTTATCTCAGTGGTCAGGTCTATCATTGACTTTGGCCTCTTTATATTCTTTCAACTTTATGCTCTCCTTAACTTCCTTGGTTAGCTATAGTTGGTTTATCCCTCTCTTAGGATCTTTCCTCCTTACTGGGATGTATTTTTGCTGACAGTCATGAATTACCTCCTTAAATATCTGCCACCGCTTGCTTACTGTCATTCCCGCTAAGCTATCCACCCAGTTTGCTTCAGCTACTTCCATCCTCATTTAATTGTAATTCCTTTAATTAAGTTAAACACATTTGTTTCCAAACCAAGTTTCTCATTCTCACACTGAATAATTAAATTCTATCATGTTATGATCACTACTTCCTTGGGATCTTTTACACTGAGATCATTTATAAAATCTGCCTCTTTACCAATTACCAGATCCAAGATAGCCTGCTCCCTGGTTGCTCCATGACATACTGCTCCAGGAAACTATCCCTAATACACTCTATGAATTGTTATAGCTACCCTTTTCAATTTGACTACCCCAATCAATGTGAAGATTAAAGTGACCCATAATTATAGCTCTATTCTTTCTACAAGCTCTTATTATTTGTTGATTTATAACCTTTCCTGCAGAGAGGCTATTGTTTGGAGGTTTGTACACTACTAGTACCAATGCTTCCTTTCCTTTGCTTTTGAGTACCTCTTTCCAAATGGATTCTATCTCAGACTAGATCATCTCTCCCAAATGTCTTCATTGCATCTCATTAACAGTATTATCCCACCATCTTTTCTATCTCTCCCGTCCTTCCATAAGGTCAAATATCCCTGAAAGTTAAGCTCCCAGTTTCAATCTCTTTATTTCCGTTACGACTATGAGATCATATTCATTTACCTCAATTTGCATTGTCAGTTTATCTACCTTATTCCGAGTGTTTTGTGCATTAAGATACAAAGCTTTTAAGCATGTTCTGTCGTCAGAATAGAGTCTGCCTTTGCTGCCATGAATGATGAGATCTGCCCCTGCTCTCTCGGAATCACGCCCAGTTTGTTTTCAAGCAGAGGGGAGAAACGTGGTAACCTTTGCTTTCTGGCTTTCTAGAGCAATAATTTTATAACACAAAATGGTATAAATTGCATTTAAGTAGCACCTATCACAACTTTAGGATGCCTTAAAGTTGTTCAAAGTAAATTCCTTTTTTATTATTTTATGAGATGTTGGTGTTGCCCATCCTGAACGGAGTGATTTGCTTGACCATTTCAGAGAGCAGTTAACAGGTTAATCACATTGCTGCGGGTTTGGAGTCACACGTAGACCAGACCAGTAACAATGGCAGATTTCCTTCCCTAAAGGACACTAGTGAATCAGGTGGATATTTATACTACTGATGGTTTCATAGTCACCAGTACTGGCACAGTGAGGGGCGAGGGCTTTCAATTCAAAATAGAATTTAAATGACATTAATCAGTCCAAAACGTTGACAGCTCCTTTCCTCCAGATTCTGCCTGGCTTGCCGTGTTCTTCCAGCCTCCTGTTTGTCTACCGTAGATTCTTTGTAACGACTTTTAGAAATTATTTTGAGATTGTCTACTCTAATTCCAGAACATTAATGCATCCCCACATTCCACGCTACTGATCCTCGTCTAGTTGCATTCCTTGGGACAGCACACCAATGGACCAAGCAGCCCAGAAAGACTCACCTCACCCTCTGTTTTCTCCAAAGCTGAGAATGCATTAACCATATCAAGCCCTATACATTTGCCATTCCACTACACATTCATCAGCATTTCTTTGACCTCCAGCTACTGAAGACGATGGCTATTTTTTGCCTTTGTTCCTAAGGTCATGGTCATTGTTGACTATAGTACATAAAACATGCCTGTGCAATGCAGACTGCACCTGGATTCAGAGAATTGTGCATATTTCCTGAGTCCCAAATGGCAACCTGGGCAATGAGTCAAAACCTCCTTTGTAACCGACAGACAAGCTTCTGCTTCCTTTCTTGTTTCACATTCCTCTTCGTCTTTTCTTATTGTAACTCTGTCACTGATTCCTTCTACCTCTTTTGATTCATCCTCCTCCTCATTCTCTTCACTGTTACTTTGAAGACACCTATAAGCAAAATTTCAAAACTAAATTTGTATGTAGGAAGTAATCATTGCAAGGAGCAGACATTATGATTGGTTGCTATTTCAGTATGCAGAATGATTGCACAAATTGGGTGAGTACTGAAGATGCAGCATTGGTGCAATTGATTTGTTTTGCACCAATACTCGAACAAACAAACACAGTATAATTTCAGCCTGAATCCAAAATTTGTGGTGTGAAATACCCTTAAGGAGGGATTCTGACAATGTTTTGTTCAAAGACAGTTTTGGCTATAATTACAGAATTAGACTCTGAGGTTTAACATCTTAGCAGAAACCACTTCTCCATACTAACTGGGTAATGTAAATGTACCACAAACATAGGGAAATGTGTACTCATATCCCCTGGGAAAGAGTTAATAAACTTAAAACAAGATCAGAATATTTGTCTGAGTAGTTATTTGGTGGCACAGAACTGGAGTATTGCTGTAAAAAGATATATTTTGTCAAGGTTTTCCATCTTGTACTCATCATGACAGTTCTTCACAGGAATCCTAATGAAAAGAGAAAGCAACATTTACATTGTTTAAGGAAGGTGCTGATTGGTTTCCAAGTAGACTGTGATTCATAGAGGTGTTGGCATGGAGAATGCACCAGTCAATGATGATTCGTGGGTAACTGCCAAGTTTTGTATAAATTTTAAACCAGGTAGGTTAACTCTGATTGGTCAAGTATTGCCTTGAGAAATGAACCAGTATATCACTGTCACTTAATTTGTTGAGTTGAAATAATATAGCACATTTACGTGTCCTTTCTGTCTGCAAAGTGCAGAACCCTGTGTATTATTATATGTAGCTTCCAACATACACACGTGCCACATTATGATCCTGACTGATAATCCCAAATTGGTTGTCAGGGTAATTCATCACAGTTTGTGTTTGCTGACAGCCAGGAACATACATAGCAACAGTGGAATCTCTGAAACAGATAGAAATCAAGCATCATAAAAACCTAGAAAAACACCCTCAAGATTGAAAAAAAAGGGAAGAGAAAAACACAGTTAAAGTAGACTTTTTGTTTTAAAAATTGGTTTTATATTGCGGATACACATTTTTAAAATAACTTGGAAACTAGCACGTGCAGCTGGAATTTATCATTGGATGGTGAAGTGAACAGACACTGTTTTCATCCCTCGGAATTATTTAGTCAGTGTTTCCAATTGTAGAGTTACATATTATGTTGGACACTGAGATTTTGCAAGAGAGGCAGTTTGAGTATGGTCTGTATCTTCCTGTTGCAAGCAGCAACATAGATATGCTGTTTAATACCAAGCATCACACCAGTACTGAAATTCGTATATCATATTACTCATTTGTATGATAGGCAGAATGTCTTTTTGGCTTTATGGCAGCAAGTTGCAGACTTGTAGGCCGTATGACCCAAAGACTGGGAGAGGCTGAATAGACTGGGACTATTTTCCCTGGAGTGTCGGAGGATGAAAGGTGACGTTATAGAGGTTTATAAAATCATGAAGGGCATGGATACAGTGAATAGCCAATGTCTTTTCCCCAGGGTAGGGAAGTCTAAAACTGGACGGCATAGGTGTAAGGTGAGAGAGGAAATATATAAAAGGGATCTAATGGACAACTTTTTCACACAGAGGGTGGTGCGTGTTTGGAATGAGCTGCCAGAGGAAGTGGTGGAGGCTGGTACAATTACAACATTTAAAAGGCATCTGGATGAGTATATGAATAGGAATGGTTTAGAAGGCTATGGGCCAAATGCTGGCAAATGGGACTAGATTAATGTAGAATATCTGGTTGGCATGGACGAGTTGAACAGAAGGGTCTGTTTCTGTGCCGTACAGCTCTAGGACTCTGACTGATGGATTATTTCAAACAGCAAATCCATTTGGCTGTCATAGCAGGTAATGTACTGACCATTGTCACAATTCCAGTTGATAGATATACTTGACAACTCAAATCCCACCATGAATCCTGGCTTGATAGATCATGTTTAATATTTGCATATTATGGTGGTTAATCACTGAAAAATATTTACATGAGGCTGTACTACAGATGTTTTTAACAACAGAAAATAAGTTTAATACACAAAAGAAAAAGAATAACCTCTACATAGAAGACAGTTAAAAAGATCTTAATGCAAACAGTAAAACAATTTTCAATCTGTTTTCCAACATTATCCTTTCATAGCTACTCAGTTTCGGAGAAATTTTATTCTTACCTCAGTTCTTAAAGTTTTTTATGTGGTAGAGTCTGCCCAGTTTCTTTTCTTTGGACTCCAGAAACAGTTTTATGATTCCTTTCTGAGTCTGCCAGCGTGAATCTGTCACAATTCTGATGACTTAAACATTTTCAGTTTAAACAATGTGAGAATTTCTGTCCAAATTTTCCTAGCTTGGAAGCTCCACAAACTAAAATACTTCGACTGGGGTGACAAGTTTCCCCTGAAGGTTGAGCAACTATTCTTCTTTCTGAACCAAACTCCATTTTCTTCTGAGCCCAGACCTTGAATTTTCTAAATCAAATGGCTTTCTAGTCTGGCTGTAAACGCAGCAGTATAAACATTCCATCATAACACTGCAGGGGTCCTGCCAGCCACTTGGCTGAAGTAACATGTCATTTTGGAACTGAAATAGCTAGATCACTGTTCCAAATGACTTTTTTGACCTTTTGTTTTAAAAATAGTTTTACAGAACACATTCACCATCCTTGCTTTAAAATCCAAATTCCCAAAATACAATACATATATACCTTTCATCACACCATAACCAACCAGTCCATTTTTTTTCAGCAATGCTCAATTTCTTAACAACAATCTAATGTGGCTATTTGAAACCCACTGAATGAAATACTCAACATTTAAATAATCCTACATTCACTCACAGCAGCATGTCTCAAAGACCTTAAAAGTACTTGCCTAGCATTGTCAAGTCCCGCACCTAATTCAATGTAATCAATGGTCCCATTATTGTCCTGATCCAACAATTTGGTCAAGATGTGTAGCTGAGCTTCTACGCAGGGAATCTTCAAATCCCGCATCCCTGGAATATTGAAATAGGAATTGCTTATTTGAAATTTCACAGTAAGCTACATACTTCCAGACACCAATCCAGTTTGTTAATGGGAAGATTATCTCTTCCTAAACAAGCCCACATCCCTTGAGCCACAAATCATCCAATCCAGGCTGGAGTGGAAAGCTGGCAATTTTCTTTCTGGTTTCTATCATTGGGAAGCTAAGTGAACGGCAATGGCCTAGAGTCAGAAACCACAAAACCTGGCAAGAATAAGGAATTGATGAGGCGCTAAATCAGGAAGTAGAATTCACTGATGCAAAGCTTAAACTTAGACAACTTGTATTTTGCATGAGGGGAACAGATAGAAGGAAATGGTTCTAGAATTTTAAGAATGAGTTTGTATTTCAACACAACTGCATAAGAAAATAGGATAAAGAAGATTCAGGAAAGCATGTTTGTAGTTTTGATAAATGACTCAGGAAATAAATTACCATCGTATAAACAATTGCGCAGCAAAATGAAAAAGGCGATGATGAAGAAAGTGAGATGATTGGGGAATAGCCTATTCCCTACTAATTTTGTCAGGAAATATAAAAGCAGTGCTTCAGCTTTAGACCAATTGATTTTTATTGAAATTCAATGCCTATCGAAGGAAAAGATGGAGAGCAACTTGCATTTTTATGAAGTTTGTAACTTGGTAAAAACATCCCAAGATGCTTCTGTCATGGAGAAGGGGAGGTTAAATGAAAGAACTTCCCTGAAATTCCTTTATAAGTAACAAGTAACAAATTGTTTATTTGACCCTAACAGTGGACAAATTAACAGAACTGCTAACAAACCGATCAATTCCCCCCAACTCCTAACTAAACAAAATTCTATCGGTATGCTATTCCAATAAACAAAAATCCCACTTATATAACCCAAGTAGTAAGAAAAAAGAATTAAAACTTAGTCTGTAAAGTCCACACAGAAGGTCTCTTCCTGAATGCTCTGCCTTCTCCACTGTCTCTCCAGTCATGAATGCCTTTCTTCACCTAACCCTGCTGTCAGGGATGTTTTCTCTGTAAAGACTCTTAGCTAGAAGTGCCATGGTACCTTTTATGGATAAGATGGTGCTTTCTTAGAGAACTTAGTGATTTCTTGTGAGAGCTAAATGCTTATTTCTGAGATGGTGGTTTGCTCTCACACTGATTTTCAAAAACCCTCTCCTTATATACCTTGGATGACATATCAATTTTCTTATAATAGCATTGGTCTGAAGTGGTCAAAACCATCAGATTTAAATTCAGAGATAGTAGGAACTGCAGATGCTGGAGAATCTGAGAAAACAAGGTGTAGA